TCATATTATCAGATAGTTCAGTCCCTTGAGAAAGACATCGTGCTAGGTAACGTGGAGGGTCAGTGAAAAAAAAAGAGAGAGACCCCCAATGAGATGGATTGGCATAATGGCAACAGCAATGGGCTCAAAGCATAGCAACAATTGTGAGGTTGGTGCAGAACCAGGCAGTGTTTTGTTCTGTTGTGCATAAGTGTGAGTCAGACCTGACTCGAAGGCATGTAACAAAAGTGGAGTGGGGCAGAGTGAGCTGCATTAGATGGGCTCTCTTTAAACTGGGGTACACATACTGTAGAGATGCATACTCTCCAGGAGGTACATGGACACATATGTTTTTAAGGAATTCAGTACCTTAGTCATTGTCTTTTCCTTCAGGATTTCTTGCCATATCTCCCTCTTCACTATCCTCCCACTTAACAAAGGAAAGATATATTTCTTACACATCCTGAATATCGCTGTGGCATGGTAACCCTGGACATTTAAACAAAAAAATCTGAGTTTGCAAGTAAAGGGACAATTTAGAACATTCCACTAGTGTCAAAAAAATTCATCAATCTTGAGAAAGAACTCCTTGAAAATAAAGCAAAGAGAGCATTAGGGAGAAATATTGTGACTTGGCAATAACTGTTTCACCCAGGCAACAAATTCATAGCACAGCTCTGTCTTAGAATTAGACTTCAGAATCACGATGGTTTTCATGGAGACATCAGTTAAATGATGCCAGACTTTTTTCAATAGAAGTCAGTCTGTTTTGACTGGTTTGCCGGTGAGGACTTCTCAATTACATTATGTAGTAGACATTTTCCAGAATTAGAATTAACCTGAATTTGTAGGTTATATTTTTAAAGCAAAAGACATTTTAAAAATTATTTTAAAATATTCAATGACAATGATAATGTTGAAATTAACAATGTTTCTATTTTCCCAACCTTTTCTAATTTTATCTAGTTAAATAAGCTGCTTCTATACAAGAGTAACAGATTTGATTAGGTCATTTAAATGACTGAGTAATAAATCCTTTTGCAAATCAGATTGTTTCCAGTCCTTTGCTTTCAACAAAATGAAGAGGATGACCTAATCAAGTTGCCAGTGGATTTATCACTAAACATATTTTTATGGTTAATCACTACGATTTTTGGCATATAAAGGAGGTCAAAGAATTCAGTGGCAATGATATAACAAAAACCCTCTTCACATCTACTTATTTATGTACCAAGTTCTGGTGACATTTCAATTTGTAAATTGAAATGAGGAATAGAATTGATAGTAGACCCTATCCCATACTATGAATACTATTTCCCAGATATACAAAACTGAGAAAAAAAAAAAAAGAGCAATTCCATTTATCCTAAGAAATGCAGTCCTAATAAAATTGGAATTTTTATGTTTGTTATTTTTGAAAATGTATATTCATACACCAGCAATAATTGTAATGAAAACTCAATACAGAGAATTTAACACTTGGGAACCTTAGGATCAAGGAAACATTTAAATTCTAATTATTTTTGCTACAGAAAATGTGATGGTTTCAATAAAAGAATAAAATATAATACACTTCTTGTTGTTAGGTGCCCTTGAGTCGGTTCTGACCCATAGCGACCCTGTATAGGGTTTCCGAGGAGCAGCTAGTGAGCTTGAACCACAGACCTTGCTGTTCAAACGACTTTGCAGTCCAGCACATTAACCCACAGCACCACACCAGGACTCCAATACAGGCTTGTGTTGTTGTGAAGCGCTGTTGAGTCAGTTCTGACCCATAGCGACCCTGTCTAGGGTTTCCAAGGAGCAGCTGGTGAGAGGTTATATAAAGAAACAAATGTGAACTCAAGAAGGAAAAAGCAATATAAAATTTCATAAAAAATGAAATTGGAAGAAAATGGAATTTTTCCATGACTTTTTGAAGTCCAGATGATAGGGGATATAAGTCACTATACGCTCCCTCCCAGCTCTTCATATTGTCTTTCAAGCAAATAATTTGGAGAAGGGAGCTGCATGCACAGCTGAGCTTCCCTCCTCAGGGGAGCCAAGCTCTAGGACAAGGTAAGGAGCATGGGGCAGTCTTCAGGTTTGTGAGAACCCCGCCCCCAGGCCTCCACAGGAGGAATTGGGGAAGTGGTGGTAAGCCTTCTCTGGTGACCCCTTGGGCTCTCCTCCCCACTCCCTGAAAGTGCTCCCTTTTGTCGTTCCCCCACACACACACTCCTCTGGCAGAGTAGCCCCCATTCTTGGTTTTCTGCAAAAAGAAGTACCTCCACCCCTGAACATCGTTTACCCCTTGAGACTGGAAGAAAGGCACTGAAATGCCCCTCTCTGGCTGCTGGCTCTGAGGTCCCGGAAACACCACAACTTAATGTTCTGGCTGTTCTCAGCCCGCCATGCTGGTCCCTGCTGTTTGCTCTCAACCCCAGAATGAACTTGCACATCTCTCTTCTGTGCACCCCTTCCTGCCCTGAGTCCAAACTCCTATGTGGTTCACAAACTCCACTATATGCTCAACCTTCACCTCCCCCAGAAACCAACACCTGGCTCTCCCTCAAGGACTTGGCTTCTCTGTAGCCCTCTCCAGCACAGGCTGCTCATTTTCTCACACTCTGCAAGTTCAGGGTCGGGAGGGGGAGTCATCAGCCTTCCTGCTCCCCAAGGCCGCATCCACACCATTTCCCCTCCACTCTGAGGTTTAAGTCATACCTCAGCCCATGCCTACCTTCTTTCTGGTCTCTCCCTATTGGGTTTTTTTTTTTAGACTTTGGCATTTGGCTCACGGCCTTTTCACTCAACTTGCCACCACCATCCATGGTGGCTTTTGTGTTCAGTTTATCCCAAACCCTGGGCGCTCTTCCCCTTGTTTTCATTTCCAAAGATTCTCCTTCACTTCATTTCAGCCACATTCCCCATGACCAGACCTTCTTTCTGACATTAGGAATTCAGACATTGAAGCCCCCTGTCATAATAGCCCAAGCTTCCATCTTATTTGTCCAGGTACAGCTATCACACTATTCAGTTCCTCAACATCACTGGAGCCCAACCTGGATGAGTCCTGTAACCGTTCTCTAAGATGCTAGACTACTGATCCTTGCTGGAGAAAAGCACATAGCTTAGAAGATTGGAGCTGCGGGATCAGTGACCACCAACCTCAAGTGGGCCCTCAACACTGCCAGCAATCCCTCTATCCTAGACCCATGGTGCTAGAACTTCTCAGAACTGACTCACTCTTCCATTCTCTCCACCTCCTTGAGTCACTTCCGGCTGTTTCTCCAGTATGAACAACCTCTCCGTATGTCCCAGAAACTGCAAACAAGTTCTAGTCTCTTATTCATAAGTTCTCTTAGACCTGCACCTTTATACTTCTTGAACCAAGTATCTACACTCCCTGCCTCGTTTCTCCACTTGCTTGCCTGACCTGGCTCCTGCCCTCACCACACCATCACTGTTGTCAACAGGCCACCAGTGGGTCCCAGTCAGTCCCTACTTGGTCTCTGTTGCCCCAGCACAGTTGACCCTCCTCCTTTCCCTGTGTTTCTGTGATCTCCAGTTGTCCATGTCTATGTCAGTCCTGTCTCCTCTGACCCCTGGAGGTGGGCCCCCCTGCAGACCCTCTGCTGCCATCTCATTCAACTCTAGAATTTTCAACTCTCACCCACAAATCTGTATCTTAAGGCATGTTCCTCCAACTGCCCACTCAAATGATATTGCTTGCTCAATATCAACATGACTAAACCAGAATTGGAGTCCTGGTGTGGCTCTGTGGAGTAAAGCACTGGACCACAAGGTCGACTTGAACCACAAGGTTGATGGTTCAAACTCACCAGCCGCTCCTTGAAAATCCTGTATAGGATCGCTATGAATTGGAACCGACTCTATTTAGCAACAAGAAACCTGAATTGGAGTCCTGGCGTGGCGCTGTATGCACTAAACTGCTAATAGCCAGGCGGGCAGTTCAAACCCACCAGCTGCTCTATACAAGGTTGCTATGAGTCGGACCGACTTGATGCCACTTAACAACAACCACCTGAATTCCTTCCTTTCAACCCACATCTCTGTCATAATCTTCCTTCTCCGTGAATGTCATAATGTCCTCTTCTCAGTGAACGGCACTCCACCCATCCTGTCTCAGTATATGGGCCCAATATATCAAGAGCAATATTTGTTAAATGAACAAATAAATGCTTGACTCCTCCCTCATGCTCCACACCTGCCAATTCCACCTCCTCACATATCCTTTTAGTCCATCCTCTCTGCTGCTTATTATTATTAATTCAGACGGGCTAGCTCCTTTGACAATTCAAACCCACCAACCGCTCTGAGGCAGTCTGCTCCAATGTAAATTTATAGCCTCGGAAACTCTACGGAGCAGTTATACATTGTCTTACAGGGTTGCTATGAGTCGGAACGACTCGACCGCAGTGGATTTAGTGGAGTACTTAACATCCTTCAAAAGCTTCCTAGAACTTTCAGTTAAGACAGGGATCTTGTTGTGGTGTGCCTGTAGTGCGAATCAACGCACTGTCCGGCCCTCCCTGGACTGTGGCTTGCTTTGGGAGCTCCATCTCCGTAAGCTTTCACAGCCCAGCTCAGTAAATGAATGGAGTGAATGAGGGAAATAATGAGGCCATTCTGGGTAGTAGGAGCTTTCTTCTAGAGCGCGCATTGCTCTAGAGCAAGACCCAGGTTGGCCGCCCCCTTCTCGCATTACGGCTAACTTGCTGCCGTCCCAACCCCCGAGCCAAAGACGTGGCTGGCAGTAGCCAATGGAACAGTCTATAGGAACGCCTTCGGACACGTTACACTCGGGAAACCCAATGTATGCCTCCGGAAGCGAGTCCCGCCCGCTCCGCACGCCTCTGTGCTTTCGCCGGCCAATGGGCGCGGCGTGCGTAACCGTCCAAGGGGCGGAGCGGGGCCCTTGGCGCGCTGTCCCGGGTGTTGGTGCTGTCCGGCCTTCTTCCCACGTCGGCGGTTTTCAGGCAAGAGCAGCCTCGGCTTTTGCCCAGCACAACAGAAAGATGGGGTTTCTGAGCGCCAGGCGCGGCCTGGAATGGTTTCTGGGCTTCTACTTCCTCTCCCACATCCCCATCACCGTGTTCCTAGACCTGCAGACGGTGCTGCCGCGCGAACTCTACCCGGTCGAGGTGAGGGGCCTTCGGGTCGGTCCTGGCCACCAGTCGTCGAGTTTGTGGCTTCCATGCTCCACAATAACCGTAATGCCCTTGCACCCCACCTGAGCTCCCCTCCTTCCGTACCCACTTAGAATTAGTTACAAATCGGGCCGCCTTTCCGCTCCCCACAGCCGCCCGCCTCGGATCCTGCTGCTGCTTCGACTCTTTTATTGCTCTTCAACTTTTTCGTTCAGCTTGGGAAATACAGAGTGTATTCTTCCCTTTTGATTTTCTAACTCCAGATCTTTGCACATTTCATTGTAATGCTTGACTTTGCCTTGGAACTGCCCTTTGAAATCTGTTCAGCTCTTTTACTTCATCATTCCTTGCATTAATTAGCTTCTCCAACAAATCTACCTAAAGATTTGATTTTGCCTCTGCTCCTTCTCAAATGCTTTTTCTTTGCAGAGCAGGTGTTCTTAACCTGAGGTCTGTAAACCCACAATGTTTACGCAGAGTTGTGTGTGCCTTGTGGTCTCTAGGATGACAGCCTATAACTTCCATCAACTTTTCCAGGTGTCTATGCAAGGTCGGTTTGAATTGCAAGGTCAGCAGTTCAAGCTCACCAGCTGCTCCTCGGAAACCCTATACAGGGTCATTAAAAGTGGACGACATTTAACAACAGTGTTTCCAAGGGAGCACAGTGGCTCTCTAGAGTAAGCACTGGACTGCAAACCACAAGTTCAGCAGTTCGAGTCCACCAGTCATTCCACAAGACAAAGATTAGACTTCTGTAAAGAATTACAGCCTCTGAAATCCTAATCAGGGCCGCCGTGAGTCAGAACTAACTGAATGGCACTTAAAACCCTCCCCCAATTCAACTCGATGGCACATAATAGCACCAATATGTCCCCACCGCATAATCCTCTTTGTTCTTTGTTTCTAGACCTCTGACTGTCCTTTCCATGGGAAAGGCAGAGGTGGTGTGTAGCAAGTGCACCTCACTGCAGTCTGGGGACTTTGTTCTTCCAAGAACTGGCTGAGCATCTTGGGCAAGCTCAAACATATACAAGGTGTATTAGTTTTCTATTGCTACGGTAACAAATTACCACAGATTTAGTGGTTTAAAACAACATAACTTTATTCTCTTACAATTCTAGAAGTCTGAATCAAGGTGTTGACATGATCAGTTCCTTCTGGAGGTCTTGGAGGAGAATCCATTCCTCGCCTCCTGGTGATTGTCAGCATTCCTCTGCTGGTGGCCCCATCACTTCTGTCATCTCAGTGCTTTCTTCTCTCCTGTAGTCCGCTCCCTCGGCCTCCTTTTATAAAGTCACTATTTGTGATTACATTTAAGATCCACTTGGATAATCTCAAGATCCTTAACTCACCCCCAAATCCTTTTTATCACCTCAGTTGGTTCCAGGGATTAGGACTTGGGTCTCCCTTATTTGAGAGTGATCATTCAGTCTACCACATAGGGCCAGGTAGTATGTACTCATTCTAGGGGCAGGCACAGTTCTGCACTAGCTCTCACTTTCCCAGAAGAAAGAAAGCCAACAGAGCCACAGTTTCAGAACTCAGGTGGACCACCTGTTTGTAATCTGATGTGATGGGTCCCTTTAATACTTGATACTTAGCAAGTAGGAACCCTGATGACTAAACAATTACTGCTCAACAGTTCAAACCCACCCAATGGCTCCACAGAAGAAATCTGTGGAAACAAGGAAACCATATGGGGTAGCCTCTGTAGTAACAATTACAATTTGCATGGCACTCTATGTAGCTATTCCAGACTTAAGTTGTTGATTTCTTTATCCTTTTTGAATATGCTGTGCAGAAGAGGTCGCTTTGAGTCCACACCGACTCGATGGCACCTAACAACAATTACCATAATCCATTCTCACTGGTCACAAGCTACAATTAAAATGTGTCCAACAAGGCAAAGGTTCCATTTAAACTTACATATTTGATTTGGTAAAGTTATGTCAACTTTATTTTTTTTTAATGTTGACTTAATGTAAAAGGGCAAGGCCCAGTGTGTGCTTGTGTGAGAGACTGATGAAGTTTGAAAGCTTTAACTCCGCATTAGCAAGCAACACAGGAACCTGGGTGGGAGTTTCGGGGTCGATCCAGGCTCTATTTACTCTTTAATTGTGGGAAAGATACATTGTGTCTATCAGATTATTCAACCATCTCCATTATAATCTCCAAATTTTACATCATCCTTAACAGAAGTTTAGTGCTCCCTAAGTAGTCCTCTTCCCTTCCCTCCTTAGCCCCTCCTACCACGCCCCCAACAAACACTAAAAACTTTTATCTCTCTTTACTTGCCTATTTAGATATTTCAGGTAAGTGAGATCATAAAATATTTGACCTTTTGTGACTTGTTTCAGCATTTATGTTTTCAAGATTCATCCATGTTGTAGCAAGTATTAGGACTTCACGTCTCTTTATGGCTACGTTATAGTCCATTGAATGTATGTACCACATTTTATTTATCTGTTCATCTGTTGGACATTTTAGCTCTTTTCACCTTTTGGCTATTGTGAATAATGATGTAATAAATATTGCTGTCTTGGTATTTTGCGTTTCTGCTCTCGGTTCTTTTGGGTACATATTTAGGAGTGGCATTGCTGGATCATATGGTAAATCTATGATTAACTTTTAGAAAAACTGCCCAAATGTTTTCCACAGCAGCCATGCCATTTTACAATCCCACCAGCAACAGGTGAGGATTCCAATTTCCATCACAGCCTAGCCTCTCTTCCTCTTACTAGTCATTCTTGATGTCTTGGGTGGGATGGGCAGGAGGGATCATTTTGTTGCTTCACTACGAGAGAAGAGTAATAGAAAACCGTGAGTTACTCTCAGATTCGTTTTGGAAAATGCCAACATATAGCATCTGCATCGTCTTCCTCCCGATGCAAAAGGAATGGTTTCTCCCTAGAACTAAAAAGCTTCTCGAAAGTCTTGTAGTTAGTGGTCAAACTCAATTTTCAAATTAAGTATTTTTTTTTTTGGTTTGAGCCAAATAAACATTTGGAAAAGCTCTCACTATATTATGAAACAGTAGGAGAGTTGAACTTGGATTTGAACATGGAAAGGGAAACATTTCATAGTGTCATTTGCCAGGGTTACAGAGGAGCACAGCATTACTTCTATTAAAATAAAAGCTGCATGAACAACGAACTGCCACCTTGGTCATGAGACTAGCACTGCGTGGCACCTCACTACCATTCCTGTGCATTTTGATCAAAGATTCCATCAAAGGATTCGGATCAAAAAGGGCAAAATTTAGAATAGAATTTCAAATTCTCATGGACTTTCTAGAACCACAGAGGCTGGATGAACCCCTGATACTATTGCCCTGAAATATTTCTTTAACACTTACACCTAAAATAGCCCCTGAAGTCATCTTAAAACTGAACAATAGTTGAACTTTAGTAAAAAAAGGTCTACCTTGAGCATTATGCTCTTTTAAGAACTATCTGTGATCAAATTGATTATAGCAACTCAAAAGATTAGATAGGAACCTTACTGGGCAATGAGTCTGCATTAAAGAAGGAGGAGCAACTTGGAAAAGGAGGGTTGAGAAAGGCTGCACCAAACTCAAAGACTGTAAACACTGTTACTAAATAGTACATGTAGAAACTTGAATTTGTGTGTTTTGCTGTGTGTATTCTCAACAATAAAAAAATAAAATTTGGAAGAAGGACCAAAAAAAAAAAATGCTGCCAAAGAAAACAGGTGAATTTAGATCTCGTTTTCCCTCTTATTCGAAAGTAGAGAAATGCCATTTCTTCAGTAGGAATTCCCAATCCATCATTGAGAAATCCAGATATTCAGGCCAGGTGAGTTTAAAACTGACAACAGTGGTGAGTTGGGAAGTCAAATGTGAGTCAAGTGTAAATCGAAACAATTTCCTTATCCTTTTACTTTTTCTGTCTTACCTAATGATTCTTATTAATGACATTCTAATGTTTTAATAGGCTTAAACTTGAGTTTCTCAAAATAACATTTTATTGCATTCAAAGAATCTTAATATTTACTACATGCTGGATATTGCTCTAAAGACTGTATATGTATTAAATCGTAACGGTAATGAAGTTGTTGTTAAGTGCTGTTGAGTCGGTTCTGACTCATAGCGACCCTGTGTAGGGTTTTCAAGGAGTGGCTAGTGTAGTATGCATTATTATTATCCCTATTTTATAGAAGGGGAAACAAATTTAATGAGATTAGGAATTTCCTCAGAGCCAGACACTCTGTCCCTAGGTCCCATGCTTGTCACCATTCCTGTGGGTCTCTGCTTTCTGTTCCACCGAGCCATCAGTCCAGGCAGCCAAGCCACTGAACAGATGGTTTATGAGTGCTGGCTGGGTAGATGATTTTAAAGTTTTGGTTATAATCTCAGCCTGCAGAAATGACTGCTACATACAGGACAGGGCCGCCTCGCTTTATGAAATAGATGATGACTCTTTAACTCAAGTGTTCCCCAATTCAATTGAAACCAAAATAACAGGCTATTAGAAAAAACAAAAAATTAAAAAGACATAGGTGGCTGAGAGAGATTGTTTACAAATTGAGTTTAAAATGAATTGCTCAAGTGAACCACACCACGATGCTTTTAAAATCCTATAGTGAATCTCTGAAAGCACACAGAACCTTCCCATTGTTTCGTTTTGTTAAGTGAATTTAGAAAGCAAAAAAGAATCTGAAACATTTAGTCCAAAATGCTCATTTCCCAGATAATCTGAGAAGACCCCTGGAGAGGTTCATTAACTTAACCTTTATGATGATTTTCTACTACGGTACTATCCTGAAAAATGCTTGGAAGGAAGCAAAGAGAATTGTCATGAATTTCAATCTCAAATCAAGTACAAATTAGAGCTTGATTGCTCAATGAATTGGTTATCCAGCCAGAGCTCTTCTGAAGTCAGGATTACGCTAACAGAACGGATGTATCTGAGTATTTGCTTAAAGCTGGCTCTCTATCAGCAGTGAGGCCTCATAGTATTTCACAATAGTGAGCCTTGTCTTTGGATTAAAAATTAACAGGAAAATTGAAAATCTGACATTGGCGCTCTTTATTTATTTTATCATAGTTACGTGGCATTAAGAGCAGGTGTTCAGGACAAAGCTATCTCAGGAGGTTAAATATGACAGACCTACTGTAAACACATTAACTGGAGTGCAGGAGGCTTTGAGCTCTTAGAAAAGCACCAACCAGGCAGCCTCAAAATCACCTGCTTCCTTCCTTTGCCTTATAGACACACCAGCAGAGGTCTGCATCTTTATATTTGGCTGGGGAATTGTGAGGCTGAGGCCCAAGCCAGAACCAATCCTGCTAACTCTCAAGCTTTGCCATAGCCTAAAACTAGATAGTGTGTGGTTTGGGACTGAGCTTGTTCTTCCAACAAATAACCTAAAAGAAAATCTTTTCGAATTTGGGGAGTTAAGAATGGGAAGTCCCTGGGTATTGCAGATGGTCAACACACGTAGCTGCTAACTGTGAGGCTTGAGGTTCCCATCTACCCAGAGATGCCTCTGAAGAATGAGCTGGTGAGCCACTTCTGGAAAATCAGACAGTGAAACTCTCGGGAGTACAGTTCTACCCTGACATACACCAGGCCGCCATGAGTTGAATAAAGAAAGATGAGGAACTTTTATGTCCAAAATCCTGTCTTCACAGAGGTTAAATATCTCTCCCCCACCAAAGGGCAAGGAATTAAATCCATTTCTTTATTTTGAGGGACTCTGACCTTCAGAGAGCTTGATGTATAGTTTCTACTGTGAAAGGACAAATATCAGGAGAGCTTTTACATCTGTCCTTTACAAAGACTGGTAATGTTGGCAGAAATGTCATGTTTGTTCATTCAGCAGGTATCTTGAACCTGCTAAGTGCTAGGTACTGTTGATTTTGACAGTGGGCCACACACCTGGATATGTGTTTTCATGGAGTTACAGACCAATGCCAGGTTGTTCAAAGAAGGGGCCAGAAGAGCTGAGGAAAGCCTCACAGGGAAGGTAACACTTGAGTTAAAGCTGGTGAGCAGTTACTAAATGGCCATCTGGGTTGTATCGCAAAAGCTAGCTGAGGGGTGCCATCTGGTTAGTGAGACTCTTTAGAAGTGTCTTCAGATGAGGTGGAGGTATGGAGCCCACTCAACCCAGATAGTTGTGATTCGTTATGAATTACTGCTTTGTCTTCTTTTTTTGCAGTTGAGAAACCTGCTGCAGTGGTATGCTAAGGAGTTCAAAGACCCTCTGATGCAGGATCCCCCAGTGTGGTTGAAGCCCATACTGTTTTGTGAGCTTCTATTTCAGCTGCCTTTCTTTCCCTTTGCAGCGTATGCCTTCTTCAAAGGTTGGTAAATGTGGGGAAAATCACACTGTAGCTCCGAAATCAGATTCTGACATCTTTGGGGACAGAGAGGGTGGTGGTTCCTGTAGTTTGTACGCCTGACAGAGGTGGGTTCTGGAGCAGTGTGGGCTCTAATGGGAATGGCCAGAATAGAGTTTATATAGGGACCTTAGTGTCATTTGGGCTAATGTCTTTTAGGGAAGAAAAGAGGCAGTGATGTGATGTGACATGAGGTAAGGGAAAGAAGTAGATAACTAAACAAAAGTCAGGGTGGGGAGTGACCAAGCAGGGCTTGGGCAGAGGCTGGTCCCCTAGACTGTTTGATTACCTCAGTCTCACAAATATTCCTCATACTCCAAAAACCTGAGGCCACTTGAAGGGTGGGTGGTTGCCTTCCTTTTTTTTAACCCCTGCAGAATTAATTTTTGTATAGTTGGCATTTCCTTACCTGTGTCTTGGGTAGTATCATACTGACTTATAAACAGCTGCGTCAAGCTCATGCCTAAAGAGTTAAACTTCTCACTTAAAATATTTTCTGTAAGTGTTCCCATATAATTGATGCATTTATAAAGCAGACGGCCGTACCATCTTGGTAACTGAGCTGGTACAGCTGAAAATGTGTATTTCTCACTAGAGTCCCCTTGAATCACTGACTCTATCTTTTGGTAGAGCCTGTTGCTCATTTGAGTCCTGGTGGCATGGTGAGTTAAGCAATGGGCTCTAACTGCAAGGTCAAGTTCAAATCCACCAGCTGTCCCAAGGGAAGAAGAGGAGGCTGTCTGCTCCGTACAAGATTTACTCTTATAAACTCTGAGGAGAACGACCCGATGGCAGTGGGCTTGGTTTGGGTGGGTTGTTCCTCTCCCCTGTATACAATAGATGTCTCAGGATTCTTCTCACACACACACACACACACACACACACACACACACACACACACACACATCTTAGAACAAACCAATCTGATGTAATGGCCGTTTGCCCCTTTAAGTTTTTCTTAGCTGTATTCAGGACCACCACCCTAAGTTCTCTAGTAGTTAGTGAATCTGAGCTGTTACCAAAACACAGAGATTTGCACACTGGGCGGTATAACACAGACTCACATTTCCACTTGCTTGGAGTTTTCACTTAGAGGTAAACGATTGAACTGAAGGGAGCAGGCAAGCAGAGACAGGGAAGAGAGTATGACTTCTGGCCCTTGGAAAAAGTCATGAACAAAGCTACTTCTTCTCATTTTCGTTTCCCCTGATAACTTTAGGAAGCTGTAAGTGGATCCGCATCCCAGCAATCATCTACTCTGTCCACACGATGACCACTTTAATCCCCATTCTCTCCGTGCTGCTCTTTGAGGATTTCTCCAAAGCCAGTTTCAAAGGACAAGGACCCAAGAGTTTCCACGATCGACTCACCCTTGTATGTGTCTATGCCCCCTACTTTCTCATCCCTCTCATGCTTCTCCTTTTCATGCTGCGGAGCCCCCACTACAAGTACGAGGAGAAAAGAAAGAAAAAATGAGGGAACTACCATGGGCTCAGAGGGAAAGATGCCCACAGAGCATATTCCTATTCAACTCATTCATTGGAAAACTGCTCAGAACCCCTGTCTTCAGCAGCATTTCAAACTCACCAGCAGCAGTGCACAAGAGCACGATGCAGGCAGGAGCCAAGTCAGACCTCACCTTCCAAGGGCACTGGGTGAACAGCCTTGTTATTACCCGACATTGGCCAGAGGTAGGCACACAGGCTGTAGGGAAGTGGTGCCAAATACCTCGTAATAGGCCCGCGTTCCATTTCAGGATCACTTAGAGCAAAACCAGACCAGAGACAGGCAATCACTTAACAACAAATTGACTAGTGGAATGTGTCAGGCCGTTTAAAGTCCATGTCTCTTTAAAACTCATTCCAAGGAACCCTGGAGGGACATTGGGCTGCTAACCAAAGGTCAGCGGTTCATACCTGCCTCAGAAATCCTACAGAGCAGTTCTACTCTGCTCTGTAGTTATGAGGAGGCAATAGTCATTCCAGAACTGTATGGTATCTTATTTCCCCTTCCTGCCTTGCCCCAGAAAAAAAAAGGAGAGAAAATATACTGCAAAGCATGACTTTCTGTCAGAAACGGGTGAAACTAGGTGTTTGGTTTGTCTTAGGCGATTTTAAAAGTCATTTTGTTCATCTTTCCAATTCTTAGTCTTCTAATTTGTAGAGACCATAACCTATTTGTCCCTGTCCTCTGGTCTGTTAGCTCAAACCTGACATGAAACTGGGCCAAGTGATGTTTCTCCTTCCTAGTACATTTGAATCGTTCCTTCCATCTTGTTCTCAGAAGTGGGGGGAGGGGAAGCTGGAGATAGCATGTCTAGGGTGTGTATGTGTACAGGGCCGCTGTACGTTACAGTTTGGTGTTCCATTAGCTTTCT